TGGCTCGACCCGGGATTTGAACCCACGACCTCCACATGTGCAGTCGTGCATGCTAGCGACTACACAACTGATTCACTATTTTCTTGTACTTGTAGTTTGACATAGTTGTTATCAATTCTGTTGAAAGTGATGACGCGATACAAAGCTTCCTCTGACACTTCGTATATGGCTTCAACTATCATAATGTGAACTCCGATTTGTATATCCTTCAGAATAAGGCACTCGTCTATGTATGAAGAGGTACCCCAGCCTAGCCTGCACAGTGCCCACGTCTGTAACGAAAATTAGATCACTAATAGGAGTATTATAAGTAAAACACTGTAGGTATATAACCTTTTTAATAAGAATAAGGTCAACCAAGTTATTGGGTTTGAACAGCTACAATGTACTATACAATAGTAATAAAAATGGAACTTACCCATTCTAGAACTCTTTAAGCGACTCGAAGTACTTTTTATTTAGTTTCTTGACTCCAACTTGAACAAAATTGTCTTCGAACAAAACTACGTCGCCTGATAAGAATCTTTTATTATTAGAGATTAGAAATATATTGCTTTTAAAAGTTTTCAGGCGCTTTAAAATTTTCTTGTGAAACACGTTGAATCTGATGTATAAAAAAATTTAAAGCATAATTTTTTTTAAATTACTTCAACAATAACAGATACGGAATATATACATAATACCACGTAAATTGACTAAAATTTGTATTAGAGTGAAAATACGTTTAATATAAACTTATTATATATAGCAAATGGCCTTAAAAGCTTTTTTCCTTGTTAACTTTAAGCTGGAAAAAATTATACCATCTAGAAGTTTTCAGTTAGCTCTTGACCTGTTTGACTGTTGTAAGTAAGACTTCGTTCTTGGATTATTGTCTTTTTATTTTTATTAGCAGTCTTTTGTTTTTAGTAATACATTTTCAAAATAGGTTGTTAATTAAAACTGTGCAGTAGAATATGGATTCTCCTACATATAGGTGATTCTCTGACGTAGGAAAAAATAAAAATATCAGTCACATATTAGTTACTAGCATTGCCCGCGGCTCCGCCCGCGTTCAGTTGACCAAAAACCAAATTCTTAGATTTTACATTGCAGTTTTTGTATTTTTCCTCAGAAATGAGATATTTTCCCGCGGTAAAAAGCATCCTATATGTTGAACCGGATAACCAGCTATCACTTTACCAAATTTCAACAAAACCCCTCTAGTGGTTTTCTGTGATGCGGTAACAGACAGACAAACAGACAGGCAGACAGACAAAAATTCAAAAAACTATAGATTCGGCCTCTGTATCGATAATAATGTTTATTTCAATAAGATTTTCCAAAAAATATTTAATGTACAGATTCAGCTTGGTTACAATTTTATTATATGTGTAGATAAATAGTGTCAAATATTTAAACTATGATAAACATATTACAAAATCTTACCTACGTTACAACAATATTTTATAATACAGTATTATATTTTTATACCTTGAAGGCCTAAACGCACTCATCTGCTCGGGAATATCCCGATAAGAGCAGTCTTAATTATAAACAGATGTACGTACGGTGCGTTCACAGTGTAATTTATAATTTATCTTAAAATTGACCACATTGTAATATGCCTGGTAATTAATTAATACGAAGCTTTTATGTCCCTAAATATCTTTTTGCATTTGAGAGTAATGAGTATCATCATTTCCGGCTCATAAATCATTTTTACGCTATACATATTTCGCCTTATTATGTGAACACACTGTTACTAATAATAAAATTCATAAAAAATTGCTTAATTTTGATTTAAAAGTTAATTAGTATTATTAAATTATTAAATGAATTACTATTATATGCTAAGTGTTTTAATATTCTCTATAGTAACATCAATAGTAGGTATAGTGTAATAATATAACTTCTTTATATAATTTTGAATTTTAGTAGAAACTAACCGGTAGGCCGTTACGTTCATTCTTATCCCATCAAAAACATAAATGTGAAAATGGGAGCCAAGTTCAATATTAAGAATATGCGAGGTTGTCAACTTCACCGACAAAAGAATTGAGATCTAAATGGATAAAAAAATCAGGATTATCTGACAGAACTTGGCAAGTTCTGTAGATAATCCTGATTTTTTTCAAATAACGTATTCAATTTGAATAGATAAATTATTTACACAGAGTGGATAACTTAGGATAAATTGAAGTTCAAGATTTAACTTGGCTAGTTTTTACCAGTAAAGCAAGTTTTTAGAAGAGTGAGTAGAGTTTTAGAGTGGTAAGAGACATGTTGACCTTACAATATAAAATTAGTAGCTTGCGTATAGCATAAACAAGATATAAGTGATTAGCCGAGTATAAGATAACTTGTATGTAAGAAGATCTGTTCCGTAAGACTTTTTACGCAACTAGACAGCAGAATCCGTGGACATACTTTACAAAGTTGTATGAAGAAGTATCATAGTCTTCCCCATCTACTCGACGACAGGTTTTCATCAAAACAAGGATTGAATTGATTGAACCACAGACATACAACAAGTATTTTTGGTTTCAAACAGCATATGTTAATTATACTGTAATAGAAACCTACATAAGTGTTAAATAAAAGAACAAAGTAAATAATTTCTCCTTCTTCATTGTCATTTTTTACCACGATATTATAACTGCAATATGAATACAAGCTTATAATTTACAATAGAGGGATATTGATCGCCACATTATCCCGTCTGATCTATAAATATGTCTCGATTCTCCACCAGAAAAAAAATGATAGTTATGAAAATTCAAATATTAAATACTCAAACTCTAAAAATAAACTAAATAGCTAGAAAAGCTAAGCAGCATATCAAAATCAGCAATTATGTATATATATCGCTTATTAAAAATTCGTGTACTTTTAAAAATATTATCCTTGGAAAAAGCTTTTAGCATAATTCTTTGATATAATGGAAGCGATTTTTCAGATTTACCGAAGAGCCTAAAGGCCATTTTAAATGTAAAATAGCCATTCAGTCAAACTACGCGTTATTTAACTGATACATAACGTTTTATAGTATTACCTGTTTTCAAATTTAAACCAGGTTCTAAGTGTTAAGGTTTTACATATGCCTACTTTTTAGATATATGAGGATACATTTTGTATCATTATGGGTTTTCTATATTTCATATTCATAAAATAGGGAATATGCGTGTGATTTAAATAAAGGCGAAATATTTTTTTTATAATCTTTATTGTTTTTGAATTAAGCCTATATAATGTCATTTCTTTTTGATTAAGAAAGTAATTATTAAAAAGTGCAAAAACAGGTGGGAAATTCAAAGTAGGTGAAACGCAACGCCATTGGTCAGACCGAATATGACGTCAGAGTATATCGTAACTGAGCGATTAGCGATTTTGTTGCTTACAAAGTGAGTTTAGTCGTCCTTTCTCTGTATATATCATACAGTGACGTCACGCCAAGCGTGCGAAATGACAAGCGTTTAAAGTATCCGTAACGGTATGATATTTAAAAAAATATATATTAAATAAGTTTTTTGGAGCTGGATATTTTTCTACAATTATATAACGTTGTAAGCCATTGCATAAAGAATAAAAAAAAAACATGCATATTCCCTATTAGGAGTACCTGGTATTTATGCTAGGTATAGGCAGTTGCTTAAAAGCTTGTATACAATCGAAGTAAGAAACACTCTGAGTTCAGGCAGCAGTTCTAACTTAATCACCTTAGATGTTATTAAAGTTTTCTTATTTATAAGAAAATTGTAATTTTTCACTAGTGTTTTTTTTGCATTTTTAAATATTTAAAATTAATACTTACAATTTTTTTCTTTTTTTACATTTATTTCACGCAAAATATATGTACATAAAGTAATGGTAAAATCTACGAGATAAACATAATATGTGACAACTTTCGACAATCTCTATTTACTTTGATACATACCAAAAGGTCTGAACACTTTGAAATAATACGTTAAATAGAATTCACTAAAAGGATTTGTAGAAATGTAAACTCTACAAGGGGACGTGAAAGCTCAAACTTTCAAAAGAAAAGTTAATACTTCAAAGAACGTCATTTGGCAAATTCGCCTTTTACGATCGTAATCTTCAGTCTTATGAAGGTGCGGCTTATCCTACGAACTTATAAGAACGGTAATGAAAAAGTTTCAATAAAAATGTTTCTTTAATGTATGTGGACTTGTATATGAGATATGCTCCCTTACATATGATATAAATAAATAAATAAATATATATAAATATTTTGGAACATTAACACACAGCACCATCTAGTTCCTTGGTAAGTTATAAGGCCTGTGTTATGGATACCAGATAGTTGATACACTACACATTACATTTAAATAAAACTTTAAATACATACATATTATAAATATTATAAAGATGACTTTCTATAAGCGATACCCATAATAGAAAATTTAAATAGTAAATCTATGGGATCTGATATAACATAGCAGTATGTCAATCTATTCTTTAGTTTTCTATTATGAATCCTAGCTCCCTCTTAATTACACTAATATGCGGAGCATGTTTTAGGCCCCGTTACAATTTTTAAGATGTTATACATCCAATATAACATATATCCAATATAAATTGAGCACATTATGTGTTTGTCCGTTAGATGAACATTCATATGTCACAGGATATTTTCCCTGAATCTACTGATCATAAAGCAAGAAAGTTTGAAACATAGTATTTTAAGCATAGACTAAAGTGAATTGTAAATAAATGTCTGGTCTAGAATAAGGTCAATTTGGAAAAAAAAAATGTGTGTCCAGTAAATCATATAAAATCAGGCTAATTAAAAGGATTTTTTATAAGAAATATAAATAGTTTAATATATTTATTGTAGTTATAAATGTATAGTTACGCACAAAACAGTTCTTAAATTTTGTAAATTATATCCTACGTCTACCTTTTCGTCGACCGTGTTGAAACTGTTCAATATTTTTGTCAGTCTTTATTTTATTGAACACACGTATTTACTAATGTAGTGAAATTTATTATCACTAAATGCAACGATTTGGCGGATCCCACCAATGTCTAAAATTATTATAAATAGTTGTTCTTTTTACTGCATTTTCATTGTTTAACAAAGCACAAAAAGCGCAGTAGTCATCTGTTTCAATACTCTCAAATCTATAATGATATGAATAATGGTTTTGCCATTTAAAATATTCTGCATACAAATCTGGATTTTTTATCAACTCATTGATCTTCCTGGCTAATTTTGCTGGACCAAGCTCCCTGGCATTTAAGTAAATGCCGTCTGGCATAAACCTGAAAAATCACAACATATGGAGATTAGTAGGAGTATATAATATTTTTCGGATTCTTACTCCCAATTTTTACATTTGAAAGAGCATAAAAATTATAATTATAGAAAGGTTTAAAAATAATGTAACCAAAAAATAATGGATAAAAATCGACCTGTTAAAAAGTAAACCTTGTCACTATGGATATAAGATGAATAATCAAAAATATTATTGTTACGTGCCTCGATTCTACCAATAAAATTTCGTCATAAACAATGACAATAAAACATACCTTGTATAATTCGCTCCACCATACACAATAGGAATGGCATAGTTCTTTAAGCCATGCAGTACTTTTTCCGTAACGTAGTCTTCAGCAAAAGAATTTTCGAAAGACAGATAAAAATAATATTTATCCTCGATCATTTTATTGCAATTATCCTTTTCCTTATGGCAAGTCTTCAAACTGCACTCTCCATAAATATCTATCGTCAAGTTATATTTTTTCAAAGACATATTTAAATAATGCGCAAAAATTTCTCTACCGCTCCTCGTATCACAGTTTGAAACAAACCAAGCGACTGCTTTCTTCTTATTATTTAACTTTTTCTTAATTTCTTCACTGACTGGTTCCATATCTTCTAGTTTCATCCAATGCATAACTCTCTTGGGGCCTATAACTTTTTTCTCTGAATCCCGTATTGCCATGTAGCCCCACATTGAGTCAGAATCAAGTCTGTAAGTCCAGGTCCAGTTATAAAATCCATCATAATAATAGGAACATACAGGATAATTATCTGCTGATTCAATGCTAGTATAAACATATTTCTGATGTAGCGCTCGTTTGTTTGGTAAATCTCGATTTACGTGTAAAAATCTCGCTTCTGGTCCAGCGAAAACGATAGCATCGAACTTAGTAAGATCACTAAGATGTGACTGATCGGCAGTAACAAAACAATTAATGTACGTACAGTTCCTTGTAATAAAACCTTGTTGTCCCACTCCCATATACACAAATGGTACATTTTTGGGAGATGTCCATTGTAATATGTATTTTAAGTCCGATTTACTTTTATTTTCAGCCATATTAATAAATCTTTCAGGAATATACTTCTTTGTTCCTTTCTGGTTCACGATATAGTCTATATATTTTATGTCAATAACTAATTTATATAAAAACCACGTTATGGAAGTTAAAAGACAATAGAAAGAAGTTTTGATTATAATGTTACTTTTCATTTTTTATTTAAAAATGCTAAAAATGTTTTACTAAAACACTGTGCAGCACTACACGTATGTGGAGACATACACTGACTACGATATAACAAACGTATCAACGGTGTTAAAAAGGTAAACAAATAAACCTAAATCGTAGAATGCGTGTGTTTAATTTTCATATTAGAAATTCCTGAGATACTTTAAATTGATATGTATTTTATTATGTAATTTTGTAATCTATACATATAATATAAAAACAGGAACTTAGCGAAATCGATGTGCGCGTTTCACGCAAAAAGTACTGAACCGATTTTAACTAAATTTAGTGTAGTGATAACTTATTACTCGGACCAACATTTAGGATACCCTTTACAATAGGATAATCTTTCATTCCCACGGGAAAACACAACAACTGGTTCTATCAAGTCGCTCTTAGAAATTTACATGTCTGACGCTGGCTAAATCTTAAGAAAAAGATAAAAACAATGTACTAGAAAATTTTAGGTCTCAATAAGGTCTAAAGAAAATCTGCAATAGCAGAAGTTTTTCTACTTAGATACACTTGCAATAACGATTCATATCTATTTAAAAGGTACCTAGGGACGCACTCGAGCGAAGTGAGGGTAATTTACACTACAATGTACTAAATTAAAAACATTCCCAATCATATTGTCAATATTTTTTACTCAAAGTCTAGCTTGATTCCTGTTATTTTTTCATTTTACTCATACTTTAATTTGTCCATATACTTTTATTAATATATAAATAATGTATGGATCAATTATCAACCGACTTCAAAAAGGAGGAGGTTCTCAATTCGACTGTATTTTTTTTTAATTATATTTGTAGTTTCATATGTTAAAAATTATAATATAAAGCGCACACTGAACCGTGTAATTTTAATGCGACGTTTTACTGTACATAAGCATATTTTTGATTTTTCTTAAACTATTATTACATTATAAATAACGTTGAATATTCACCAAATATTTATTACCCTTGTTGTTGTCGATATATGCTCTTTCTTCTTCCTTTGCTTAAGACAAATACCCCAACAACCTGATAGCTTAGAACTTTCCTACAATTTTTCGTGCCATTATTATTTCATAGTATATTAAACCGCGAGCTCATTTTTCCGATGAGAACGATGTCATCGGCGAGATCCTACACCAACACTGAACTGGTTCAACTTGTTAAAGAACAAAGTCAGCCACAGATTAAATAAAATCCATACTTATGTTATGTTTCGCCTGGTCCCACGGCAATTTCCATTTGTTTATATTTGCACCTTGCTATCTTGGCTTCTTAACTTCCTGCAGTTGTTTTCCTGTTCCTTTTCTTTCATAGCTTTTATTTTTGGAGCACATCCCAATTCCCAATGCCAATTATATATATAATTATTATTTTCCTCACTCATATGGGTTTCTAAACATATCGTATACCGTCGTTGATTTCTTCATTATTTGATTACCTTTTTTGAATTCTCTTTTAGTACCTGGGCGACTGAGTTTCACTCGGCGTTTCTTTTTTTTTTGTAAAATCGTTTTATCTTTATCAGCACGCAACCCTAAAAATCACAAAATCTTTTGTAGACTACATTCTTTTATTTACAAAGCCAGTAAACCCGCACGCTCTTTGAATGTTGAACTTGTCATATTTAAAACATACATATATTTCTTCTAAAGGCTACGGTCTACGTGTATACCTATTCAATGAAAGCTAGGATTTGTATAAGAGCTGCCAAAATGGGGATCTCAAATCTGTAAATATAAAACCTATCTACAAAAATATTAACATTATATATATTCTAAATATTTTTAATTAAGCTTTTGTTACGAAATGATTATTACAGACTTGGTTTTATGTGAAGAAAAAAAATTATGTAGATATAGTACCTGTTTGCATTGTTTTTTTTCATAGTAAGTTAGTCTAAATAATAACAAAAACTTATGAAAATCCTTACAACATTTTTTATGTACGTATACTTGATAACAAACAAACACCTCAGGGGACCTTATAATATAAAATATACACAAGGGCGAGATTGTAAAAAAATATAACCTACTTATATATTGGTACTAAAAGGATTCTAAAACATTTTTTATTCACTAACATCAGTGTCTGTTACATTCTTTTAAGCTATAAACTAGAGACCAAACCTTAAAGACCCTTGTTACAATGTTCGAACATGAAATAAATACAATGTTAACACTAAAACGCTCGGTAAACGCTCATAAATTATGTAAATCTAGATAGCACTTAGTTTAAGCAATTTCGAAAATGTGTTTATAATTATTAATCCTTTATATATAATGTATGAAAATCCTTGATAATTAATAGATATATGTAAAAAACCTTTTTTTAAAACTATCTAAAAAATTAATCTAATTAACACTGGTTGTAAAGATTTTATGGACCATTTGGTTAAATTTCAAACTCCTTAAATATTATATGAAATTATTAAATATTTTAATATTTTTAAAATATATTATTGATAATAAAATTAAAAAAAAATCGTCCTTTCGTGTTTCGGGATGATGTCATTTTGTCATTTCGAGAACGCCTTTAATTATAGATTGGTATTGATTTTGAATAAAAAAAAACAAAAAAGTACAAATGTAATGTTTCAATAGTCTCGCTTAGCGATTGAGATATCGAAAGTTAAATGAAAGAGTTTCAATAACAACCTCCCAAGTCCATCGATAGACCAACTTTATGGTAATAAATTCTAGTATTGTCATCGGCAACATTTATCATTTTATTACACTGCAAAGTTAGAAGTCAATGAAATAATATTAGAAGTAGGTCAAAATTAAGATATTTTTTTTAAATGCCTATAATTTCATGGACTTTTTCTGTTTTTCTCTGCATCTACATTCTACCTAAATAAAAAATATAATTATATATATATATATATATATATATATATATATCATATAAGCAGTAAGCTGTTATAGAAATTTATGGAGCATACATAAAAAAGGTACGCGCGTACCCTTATTTTAAATCGGTTAATATCACATATATACGTACACAACAACTTATACATGCAAATTCAAAACATATAGGTAGTAGATGCATAAACAAATCTTTAAAATATCTACTGATATTTGTGTTCTTAAATAAACAAACTGTACAAATATGCAATGTCTCCACATAACACCGCGAAAGGATCAGTATGTAACATTTGAGATTTGTCTTTGAATTCGAAGAAAGCCGCCCATGATTACGTACAAACAAAATATGGCGCGCTGTAAACGTAAAGCTGTAAGGTAAAGCCTAAGATATTTGCCCATTTGTGTTTCATTTAAATAAATATATTACCTGCTTTTGAAATACTGCGTAAAATTAAATATTATGCCAGAGAGGACGGTGTAGATACTTTCTAGTAAAATATATATTATAGTAATTTAACCTTTTTCATTATTAATGTTATTATACTTTATTCAAAACGATTTTTTATTACATTATTAATTTTTAGACAAAATAACATTAATTATTCGCACATAAATGAAATGAATAAACAGGCAAAATTCTGGGCAGTGTGCTTCTAAATGCGGGTTTACACCATAGTCCACTATGTAGAGAACTAGTTAGATTCCTTCAAATATATTAGTATTAATATTAAATTAAAATGAATTAAGTATTGCCGGTTTAAAAGTAATCTATGTCACATTCTTGTGGCCGACTCATAATCTTTCTCTATATAAAGAAATCTCGTCGATACATTTGTCTGTGGTTTTGTAAAAGAAGGACAATGGAATAGACGAAAGAATCAATTTTTCCAGTTAACCAGGTTCTTATTCATAATATACTCGAACATTATTTAATGTTACTAAAAATTATATTTCAAATTCATAATTACTTATGTAAATCTTACAAATATTAAATAAATGTGAAAGTTTAGATGGTTGGATGTTTGTTACTCAATCACAACAGAACGGCTGAACGAATCTGGATGAAATTTGTCACAAAGATAATGTATAATCTGGAATAGCACATAGGCTACTTTTTATCCTGGAAAAATGTATGATTCCCGTGGGATAGATTTATTTTTGTATTTCTAGAGGAGAACCCTAGCGAAGCGAGGGTGAGCCGTTAGTACCTGATATATAAATTAATAGATACTACATAATTATAATAAGTAACTAATAATATTTTTTATAAAATCATAACTCTAATAAAATATCATTTACACTTTCGTTAATAATTAAGTCCGCGTCCGTGATTTGGTAGAATTATCTTATGAAGCCTACCAAAATATTGCATGCATAAATTAAATGCAACATATCAATTAACTCAAAATAATTTCATATGTATGGTTGTGGTATTACGGACGTTATTAATTATTATGGTATTTATCATACATTAAGCTTATCCTCGTCCCAAATATGTCATTATTCATAAGCGGATACACTTCAATCATCGTATCGTAATCATCGTATTCAAGAATCGTTGAATATCGCAGCGAGAATCCGAGTCACACTTGACCAATTCTATGAAATAAAAATATCTTTTAGTATTTTTTCGCGGATTTATTTTTATTTTTGGTTTCCGAAGTTTCGAATGTTTTACAGCAATCGCAGTCACGGCAGAAACTCAATCACTCGAATTTTGCTTTGCTTGTAAAGCATTAGAAACCTCGGGAATCAAAAATCAAAATATATCCGCGAAAAAATCCGAAAAGATAGTTTTATTCGAAATATTTTTTCAAATATTTGCGTACATCTAGGAAAACAGTTCTATTAAACTTATATCCCTGTTATCTAGACAATAAATACACCTATTTATTTTGCTTACCAACTAAGGCACTTTGTTAAGTTTAGAATAGAATATAATTTTAACGTAATCCTAAATTTTTCTAGACT